AAAAAAGCCATGTCAACTTGTTGATCATATCTTCCCTAAAACTAAGTTTGGAGATAAAATGCGTCAATTTCGACCAACTTGGTTTAAGAGAAGATCTCAATGGTTGGAATATAGCATTAAAGCAGACACAACATTTTGTTTGTGTTGTTTTTTGTTCAAGAATGAACTTGAAAGTCGTGGAAATGCCGGAGATTCATTTACAAGAGATGGTTTTAGGTGTTGGAACAAAGCTTTAGAAAGATTCAAAAAACATGTTGGTAAGGTAAATAGTATCCATCATAAATGTTTCAATAGGATGCAAGATTTGAAAAACCAACGGCAATCGATCCAATCTTCTTTTGACAAGCAAAGTGAAAAGGCAAGAAGTGATTATCGGATGCGTTTAAATGCCTCAATTGATGTAGCAAGATTTCTCTTGACATCGGGATTTCCATTTCGTGGACATGATGAAAGTGAAGGTTCCGAATATAAGGGTGCTTTTCTTGAACTTTTGAAATGGTATGGGGATAGAAGTTTTGATGTGGGAAGAGTAATATTAGGTAATGCTCCACAAAATGATATGATGATTTGTCCGACAATTCAAAAAGATATTGTGGAGGCTTGTGCTAAAGAAACAACTAAGGCTATCATTGAAGACTTGGACGGTGATTATTTTGGAATATTAGTTGATGAATCAAAGGATGTTTCTCATAAGGAGCAAATGGCTCTAATTTTGAGATATGTCAACAAAAGTGGAATGGTGATAGAGCGATTCTTGGGTATTGTCCACGTAAATGATACATCTTCTCAATCATTAAAAAAGGCAATTTATTCTTTGCTTTTGGATCACTCATTATGTACATCCAAAATACGTGGTCAAGGTTATGATGGGGCTAGTAATATGCAAGGGGAAATAAATGGTCTCAAGTCTTTGATTTACAAGATACGTCATCTGCATATTCTATTCACTGTTTTGCTCACCAATTGCAATTGGCACTTGTAGGTCTTTCCAAAAAGAATTCGGATGTGGATAATTTTTTTTATGTTCTCACTAATATTTTGAATACTATTGGAGCTTCATTTAAACGCAGAGATTCACTTCGACAACATCAAGAAGATAAGTTGGAAGAGTTGCTTAAATTTGGAGAAGTTCATACAGGGCAAGGTTTGAATCAAGAACGTGGCCTCCAACGACCGGGTGATACTCGTTGGGGGTCTCATTTTAAAACCTTGGACAATTTCCTGATTCTTTTTTCTTCAATTGTTAATGTGCTTAAGAATATGAAACGTGATTGTCCTTATTATCTTGATAGATTTACGGCGGAAAATCTTTTGAGCAAGATTCATGAATTTGAATTTGTCTTTATGTTGCACTTGATGTTTAAGGTGTTGCTATTGACGAATGAGTTGAATAAAGTTTTACAAAAGAAAGATCAAGATATTGTTAATGCTATGGGATTGCTTGACCTTTCAAAGAAACGATTGCAAATGATGAGAGAGGATGAATGGGACTCTATGATGGATGAGGTTAGCTTATTTTGTGGTAAACATGGAATTTCAATTCCCAAAATGAATGAAGACTACTCTAATGGGAAGTCGAAGTGTAAGAGGTCCAATATTTCATATTTGCATCACTTTCGTGTGGAAGTGTTTTATGCCGTCATTGATTTGGCACTTCAAGAACTCAATAATCGTTTTGATGTGGTGACTAGTGACTTGCTCCTCGGTATGGCTAGTTTGAGTCCGGTTGATTCATTTGCTAATTTTCACAAGGATAGGATAATGAAACTAGCCGAGTACTACCCAAGTGAGTTTGGTGATAAAGAGCTTCGGGAACTCAATTTTCAACTTGATGATTTTATTGTCTATGCTCAAAAGTGTGATAGCAAGTTTCTCAACTTGAAGGGAATCAAGGATCTTGCAAAAGTGATGATAGAGACAAAACTAGATCAAACTTGGTCACTTGTGTATCTACTTGTGAAGCTAACTTTGATTATTCATGTTGCTACCGCAAGCGTGGAAAGAGCATTCTCATCAATGAAGTACATAAAGAATGATTTGCGTAATAGGATGGATGAAGATCTTTTGAATGGTTGTTTAGTTTGCTATATAGAGCGTAGTATATTTAAAAATGTAAGTAATGATGTCATTATTGGCCGTTTTCAAAATATGAAAACTCGTCGAGGACAATTGTAAGTGAATGATGTTTTTTGCTAATATATTACTATATAAAGATTGCTACTACCTACTTGCTCGTCAACTTGTTCTCACCGTAAAATCTATATAATTGAATTAATTGTCTATTTTGAAAATAATGGTGCCCCCATGTTCTTGAGATCCTAGATACGCCTCTGCCAACAATATGAATATTGAATGTAGGACCAAACAAGGAATTGTAATACTAAAAAATGTGAGGCAGACGGAGCTCGTGCAAATAGTACATAAAGTTACATAGAAAGAAATATCCTAGAAATTATACTAAATTCTCATGACTATATCTGTCTCGTAGGCTCTAAAAAATGTGTATCTGTGGAAATCCCATTTGGCTTCATACATGATGAGCATTGATCTGTTATCCCTTATACACCTAGCATGTACACTTTACTTGTCAAAATTCCACTTTACTTGTCAAATATTTAGGAGTTGCTCTTGCTCAATTAATCATGTATAAGTTTTGTGGGAGCTCGTCTCTCTGCGTTGTAACTATATCAACTTCAATGGACATTCTGCTGCTACAGCCTGACCATGTGTCGTGGTTGACTTTAGCTCTTGCTTAAATGGTTCTCATACCATTTCATGTTGAGGTAATCCAGTTGTCTAGTGAAGTATATTTTGTTTTCCAAATTTTTGTTCTCCTTTATGCATTGTTGTTACATGCTGTTGATTTGCAAATCTTAGATGGTATGTATGCTCCTATCTGACAACAAACTCAGATGAATGACCATTTTAGGTTATTAATGACAATAGAGTTATTTTGGATAAGCAATTTTAAATCAATGCACATTAATTCTATTTTTGAACATTTTAGTTTGGCCACTTTGATGACTAAATAGCTATATAAGCATAATAAGAATAACAACCCATTCAATCGCTATGGATAGTTACAACCATAATACCCTGTATGAGAGACTCCATAGTGAAATTAATTGAAAAGAACTCAAGATGGGGAGGCTTTAATTTAAAGCTGATATCTCTTGATTTATCTCGATGATTACATTGTTATGGTGTGTTATTCCATTAGCAGGTGACTTGTGGTGCAAGCATGTACTTGCGTTGCTTGTCGCATCCATTTCGTGTCGTGATGTCTTTTTATAAAAAAAATGTGATGTGAAATGGGATTTACTCTATTTTTTCCCAAGCTATTGTTAAGAGGCCATCGTAGTGGGCTTCAAATTGCATGGGTGTAAACACTCGATGTGAATACTTTTTTTCATATCTTTCATACACAAATTAATCAAATGTTCACCAATTTAGAATACAATATTTGATGTTTTCGAAAGAATCAAAGTGTCATGAAGAAGCTAATAAATGCAAAATATATAGGCGATAAATCAGACAACAAATAAAATTATATTAAAATTGATCTACATTGTAGATGCAAGGATGGATTAACCAAAAAGAATCGAAGCCCCACCCCCACCCCCCACCCCCTCAGGC